AAAAAAATGCACTCCTTACTGAAAAACTGGTTTTGAGAGTAACTTTGCTGTTTCTTAGTTTTATTTAAAAATGTATTATTTTAGATTTTATAACAGATTTCATCTTTTCAAAATTTGATTTTTCAAACTTTTTTAATATGTCTTTTTACAGATTTCATATCTTATCTTTTAAAATTTCTCTTTTTTATATCACGTTTTATGGATTGCATACACAGACTCCCTCTAGACCTAGACTACTAAAAATGTTTTTTGCTAACATCCATGCAGAATAATAGAAATGCATTTGCTCTTCTCTCCAGCTGAAAGCAGTGAGAAGTGAAGAGAATAAAATCTTTAAAGAAAAAATAAAATCTAATAAAAAAATATGAAAAAAAAGAGTTGTAATTATAATTTAAGAAAATTGGTGTTAATATAGAAAGTTTTCAAAGTTTCATTTACAAAAGGTTTTCAACAGTAATGTGACAAAATTCACTCCAAAACTCACTTATCCTAAAAAAGACAAATGTGTTTGTGGAATTTCTTCTCTTAACTTTGATTCACTGCAGGTTTTCTTTAGTATTCATGTCTGAGGTCTGGGACGGCCATGAAAGAAGGTCGTTTTGTGTCTGATGTAGATTTGAAACACTGATTCTACACTGATGCCCCAGTTTCAGTTTCCTGGTTGAATGCCAAGATTTTTTTTTTTTTTTTATCAAAATCCCTTCGTACAGCAAAAAATGAATGACGCCAACAAGGTTTCATTCAAAGCATCGCAGATCTTGCACTGTATTTAACTATGGGAGTGAGGTGCTTCTACACATGTTCATCTTTTGTTTTATGCTGGATCCACCTCTAGTGATGCTTTTTATATACATTTTTAAAATGAATATAGTTCAGCTTATAAACTAAAAGGATCATATTTAGGAAGATAAAAAATAATGTAGTTCAACTCTAATAAAAAAAATACAACTTCTATCTAAAACAAAGTTACAACAAATATGAACGGTTTAACAGACAAAAATGAGAGAAAAATGTGGGGAAATATAATTAATGAGGCTTTTCTTTGATAAATTCCCAAAACTTGTTAGAGTGGAGACCATTTCAATCTGTTTTTGCAGGTCTTAATAAAAATATATATATTTATATATATATATAGATTTTTTTTATCCCCATCCACCTTAGCAACTTGTGTAAAAGTTGCTAAGTTTCTCTCAGTGTCAAGCATTATTTCCCCCAAGGGAAACAGAAAATTGTGGTTTATGAAGGAAAGGTTCTTAAAAAATTAGAGAAAAATGTTGTTTTAACCATGCTTAAGTTGCAGTTATGTAAAAGCTATTTTTATTATGTTTTATATACTCAGATTCTTTTTTCTTCTTAATAAATGTACTATAGGCAAGTTTTAAGCTAAATTTAAGGTGTCAATCTTTGATAATAAGAATTTGGCTTTTTGCAGTTCTTTACCAGTGGTGCCAACAAATTCATCCCAGCTGCCCTTTAAGGAAACTAATATGATTTCATGTAGATATTAGTGTCAGTTTTTTTTTATTTTTTTTTTTATATCCCTTGTTAAATTTGAAATTAACTCCTTAATCTGTTTAGCAGAGTGTAGATAAATAGATTTTCTTGGTTTAAAACAAATTAAGGAGTGTTCATATTATTAACATGAAGGTGTTGTCTGATTGGTTGACAGGTTGGTTGTCTTACTGTGTGATATTGTTTAAGGATTGGTTTGGCACTTTACCAATGGAAGCGAAGGGGTTGCAGTCAAGATTTCAATTAAAAAAAGATTTAAATTTGGTTCGAAAGAGAAGTTTTTTTGACAGCTTTGCCAAATGTAGCAGAGGCCTATTGGTAAATTTGCAAGTCATTTATATACTATATATGCAGATGAAAATGGTAAATGAGCACAAAAAATAACTAATATGCTTCAATAAAATTTTTTTTTGTTTATGAATTCAAGTTTCATGGGACATTTCAGGCTCTATCTTATATTTTCCATGAATAACTTAAGGTTTATAATGCAGTATACCTAACCATAAAAACATGAGCCTTGCTTATAAATATTAACCTTTAGTCTCAGCCATTGAAAAAAAAATATAAATATGTTTAATAAAGTAAATTATACGATAAATTATATTAAAAAAATAAAAGGCGCTATTCTTTTCACGCTGCAAGCTGGTAAAGGTCAGATCTGAATACAAACATTGAATGGCTCTTTGTCATTTTTTTTTGGTCAGAAGAATAAATCATCTTTAACAAATACCTGTGCCTTATTGTCTTTGCATTTGACTCAGTTTATACTGTTTTTATTTTTAGCACTCTATTTTTTTCCCCCCAACATTTTTTTTTTGGCATTAAAGACGATACCATCTGGAGAAGCTGCTTGTCTGCATGCAATAGATATTACATGCCATAGACTTTTGCTCAATTAAAAAGAGGATTTCTGCAATTAGTATCCTAATTACACGGTTAATAGTTATGATATTGACAGGTCGCATTAAGGAAACAGCAGTCTGCTTTTGTATAGCCTTGAACCTTTTGTATTATGAGCTAGTGCTAATTTATCCCTCATGCATAAATGTTTGCAGGACCAGTTACAATGGCGTTGAGAACAATGAGCCCTTGGGTTCCTGGAAGCCACCAAAGACTGCAAACACTGAGCTCCCCCATGTAGTTGCAATACACTCAAAACAAGGCAGGGTGGCAACAAAAACAAAGATGCAAAGGGAGAGACACTGACCTCCAAACCCATCTACTTAGCACCACCACCTCACCTGGTAATGACTAAGCCTTGAACATGTTTAGCCAGGAGGCCAGGTTCTTACAGAAGCCAGAAGGTTCTCCATATATAAACAGCACTAGAGGCAGCAGGTTTGTCTATGCACATGTGAAATGTTGCTAATAATCAGTGTTTCAATTTCATTTAAAATTTGGGCTACTGATGGTGTTTTTGGAGATCAGATTCTCACCCACCTCAACCCTAAACCTCTCTTTTGTTTTTATAATGAATGCTGAACATTCCAAGCAGTGGGGGCTTGGCTGCCAGGTTCTCTGTCGATGCCTGAAGCTCTATCATCCCACACAACAAGACCCCATTTTATTATTTGCATATGTTAAGGAGTAAACAGACCTTAAGATTTACTGGAAATCTGCTGTCCCTGTTTTAGTGCCACCCTTTGGCTGGTGACCCTCTGAGATCTCTGGTGATGAAAGAGAAGTGATTTTAAAAATCAGCTCTATTTTAAAAGTCATTTATGGCAAAGAAGTTGCACCAATGTGCTGTAAAGAACGAGCTATATTAAATTAAAGTAGTTAAAAATAAATAAAAAAAAACATACTGATAAAATAAATGATTAGTTTAAAAGAAAAAGAATAATGTAAAATATAAATACAATTAGAATGTCAAGCCAAACAGTAGAGGGTGGTCTTTCAAAAGATTTTTTCCCCTTTTGAACAGGAGCAGCCCCACCGCATAGAATGTCCTCCACTGTATTTAACCATGTTAGAGAGATGCTTTTAAACATCTTTATTCTTAAGTTGGTGGTAGTCTTGCCTCAAGTCTATGATGGGGAAAGGGCAATTCTGTGTATCTTTTGGCCAAAAATATTTCTAACTTTTTTATGTTTCTCATTTCATGTCTCTTCAGTTTATTTTTCTTTTCCATAAATATGCAGTTTATTGAGAAACTGATTTGTAGTTCCTTTCTGCAGATTCTCCAGCCTTAATTATGTCCCTTTTCAATATCTTGGTGTTTGTGCCCCAACAAGCTATTACTGTACTGAGATTAAATTTCACACATGTTGATTCTAATCATCCCTTTTAAGAAAGTTAATTTTCAGAAATTTAATATTTTGATTTTGTGTTTGTATTTCAATTTGTACTTCAATTTGGAAACTGTGCACTCCTTCCTGCTCTATCATATTTATGTCATCCACTGTGAAGAGTGGGGTTATATTACATATATATAGCTAGTCTATATGCCAGATATTATCCACCACTTGTTCCCTCCACGTCCATTAGGGTATCACAGTTCTACTCGTTTTTATATTCAAAGTCAAGTTCAACTCCCTCTAGTCTTCTTTATACATAAAAACCATCACTCTTTATTTTGCGCGGTCATATAGTTATATCCAGTAGGGGGCGATGATAGTAAGAAACTGCATTTTGCTCTCCCGATTAGTAAGAAAAGAACAAGAGAAGAAACCGGAAATTACGGCAGCTCCTTATCCGAGGAAGCAAGATAAACAAACGAATAAATTACATTATGTAATATTAAGAACTCGAACTTATTTCCCTTCACCTAATTCCGATAAGATAAAGTTAGGAGGCTTTAACGGTTGAGTTGGACAGCCAGGCGCTGAGAGCACGAGCGGCTAGCAGCATCTTCGGGTTGCTAAGCTAAGCTGCTCGTCATGTTTATTTTAGTGCGAATGAGCGCGACATGATCATGGCATGAAAGCGCTGATGTGGTTGTGGAAAGACGCGTTTTTCATCTAAAGGTATGGCTCAAAACATTTTCTTGGTAAAGCTAAGCTACAGATTTACATTCTGTGTGGTTTCATGTAGATTTTCTTGTGTTATTCTGAATATAGCATTAAAACGTGACAACTTGGACACTCCGTCCAGTTACTTACAGCTTTAGTAATGTTTATTATGCTAAACCGTTTTTTATTGCATCGATCCTTTTTTCCTCCCCTTATAAAGTCTGGTGATTAATCGTGTTTTTAATTGTTTTGTCCTGTAAATGGTTGAAGGTTGCAGCAAACAGGTGAAACCTTTGCTTCCTAAAAAAAAAGAAAAAAAAAAGGACCCACATCGCAGCGTCAGCATGGCGTGGGCTCTGAAGCTGCCCCTCACGGATGAAGTGATCGAGTCCGGACTTGTCCAGGACTTTGATGCCAGTCTCTCCGGGATAGGACAGGAGCTTGGTGCGGGGGCGTACAGTATGAGGTATGTTGTTACCCTCAGGCTAAGGCTATTCTGCTTTTTTGTTTTGTTTCACT